TCTTTCACATAATTCATCCTATCAAATTGCTATGGTGAAGGCAACCCAAAAGGACCATGCTTATAATCAAATCAAGTACATACCATTAATAGTTATGGCCTTAGACACCTAGTCCAACAATGGTTTCTACTTGGATCCGTCTACAGACAATTTAAAACTGAACTGGGAGTAGACATTGGTTAGGGCAAAAACCAATTGAGCCGCTGTGTGCATAACAGTGCTAGAACTTCTAGATGCGGAAGTCATGGGTCCCAAGGAAATCAAGAAATAAATAACAAGAAAGATAAAAAAACAATAGATAGAGAGATACCACAGGAAAAAAGTAAACAAATGGACCATTGGTCCCAATACCGATACAACAACAGCAGGAAGGAATATTTGGACAACAGGTTTGCTGCAATGAGGAAACTGGAGCAGCAAGGGATAGAAAACGCAACAGATACAACAACAGTAAAATGCTGAAGAAAAAAAATACTTGCCCGCAGAAGGGTGCAAGACATAAAAGATGTATTGCAACAAAAGGGTAGGGCCGTAATTCCAATGGAGAAGTCACGACAACATGTTTGTTTTTGTGAAGTAACAAGTGTAGCAGGACAGTGGGTTGTTGCTGGAAGGTAGGCTAGAAGAACAACAATCAACAACGATTTCACCAGAAAAACTGTCCAAAATAGTACAAAAGTGCCGATCGTGATTTAGGGTTGGCTTGATACCATGTTGAATATTGTGGAAACCCCTTGAATAGGGTTTACGTGTGTATTAGCAATATATATATATATATATATATATATATATATATATATATATATATATATATATATAAGTTAAAAAGACCCCCTACACTATACATCACGAGAGATAATAACCTAACAAGTCTATTATTTAACAAAAATCTTACGAGGTACATATGAAGAGAACTCACGATTTTTAGCACATATCATAGCAAACAACTTCATCAGAACATCAAATTTTAAGAAATTAGCAAACATTTTCATCAAATGTAGAGAAGAAATTACCAATTTCAGCAATAAGTCACTGATTTATTTATTTGGAGGAGAGCATTGCGAGTTCATCATCAATATCAGCAAAAATCAAGAGAAATAAGGAAAAACTGAAGAACGAAATACATACCGGAGAGGCGTTGAGCTCTACTATGCGACGGTGGTGATAGTCGAAGATGCAAAGCTGGAAAGGAGCGATGTCGAAGAGTGGAGCGTCGGCTGTAAGGCGATCGAGAATAGGGAACACGTCGTTTAGGTCATGGCACACTAGGAAGCATGACATTTTTTTTCTTCAGATATGAGTTTACATCTGATTCGATGAGACCCTTTTTCCTACTAAGATGATAAATCAAGTGGCAACCAGACACTCTGAATCGTATAGATTCAAATGTGCTTCTTTTTAAGAGGCATTAAAGAAAAACAAACAAGAATAATTTATATACACATGTTATACTATATATTTACTGAATTACGTAAAGACCATACCATATTTTTTGTAAAGGACTTTGCAAACTCTGATCATTCTCGATTACAACCAAAACGTGTGTTATGCTATCTTTGGAAGGTTGTGAGACCCTTTTCACACTAAGAGGATATATCAAGTGTCAACCATACACTCTGAGTCTTACATATTCAAAGGTGCCTTTTTTAAGAGGCGTTAAGAGGAAAATAAACATGAATAATTTATATACACATGTTATACTACATATTTACTTAATTTACGTACATATTTACTTAATTTACGTAAGGGCCATACCGTCTTTTTTTTATAAAGGTCTTTGCAAACTCTGATCATTCTGGATTACAACCAAAACGTGTGTTATGCAATCTTTCAAAGGTTGCAATTTAGAGGTGTGTCAGTAGTTTGCTATGTTCCTGTCAATTTTTTCTTTATGGTCAACATACATAAATCTGCTCCCCTTAGTTCTTCTTTGTGGTCCATATACATTGCTTCCTCACACCCTGACTGTTACCAATCACACATAGCCTTTTAACGTAAGTAGTTGACGTCTTTTTCTAATATGTTGGAGGTTGCCGGTTCAAGACTTTCACGAGCAAAATGTTTTTTTTTTTTTTTAAATTATATTCTCTAGATGATGTAAGTGGCATGATTTAAATGTCTGCCATCATACAAAATCGAAAATGCAATAAATAGTCTCAATCGTTAGATATATGCACCAATAAAAATTAAGTTATATATTTTTTTTCATATATAATTTATATACCTACTTGTGTCCCCAAGCACGATCCATACCGATTTGAGACTTGTGGTAAAACAAAATATGAGACTCTTCAAAATATAAAAAAGTTATAATCAAATAACTAAACCGATGTATAATAAGGTTTAACAATTATATTAGAATAATATACCTTTAGAATTAAAGCAGAGCCTATAGGATACCATTCCAATCTTCCAAACATCTTTCCAACACTTTTATCCCCTAATTTTCAAGAACATATCTCACAAAGTTAGATGGAGTTTTAGGATCTTGATCACAAAAAGTTACTAGTTTTCTGGAAAACATTTTTGAATCCGTCAATAGTCAAATTGACAAAATATGACAGAATATGAACAAATTTGACGCGTTACACACGCCAAGGGATTGAATACTTGTTTATCCGGTTAAATGTGCCACACGATGTATTTAAATACAATCTAGATGCTTAATGATCTATTGGGTATAATTAAAAAATCGATGACTTGAACAACAAACAATGAATACTTAATTAGTTGCAATTTTATTATATTAATCATCTTTTACTATGTAAAAAAGTAAAAGTATTGAAAGTATATAGTTTTATGTTGTTAGACTTTTGCATACAATTGTCATGGAAAAAACAAAAAATACTCAATATGAGGAACACGTTTCTTGGACCGGCTTCATGAAATTTATTTTAATAAAAAAACACCCATAAGAAATCTGTCGGTGGCATAATTCTGAACTGGAAAATAAAGAAACCCATTTAGTCGTCTACACAGGAGAGTTTGCTGACTTCTTTTACAAAGGCCAATGGAAGAGACCGATGATCAATTGTGGCCTTAGCCATCGCTTTCTAATTATATTTTTTTGGGAAGGAATCTCTTTTCCACTTACATGCAATAAGTGGATTTTATAATTATCCTTTTCCTAATCATGTTATAAAGGGTTATGCTAAAAAACGTGCTTACCTTATCCTTTTCTCCTTTCTTATTGCATGCATTTTAAAATCCTAATTTGAATCTAAAGCATCTACTATAATAAATAATAAATGAAGGTTTTTTTATCACATGTCCTCTTCTCCTTCATTTGGACTCTCTTTCATTTGGACACATGACATTTTCTAATATTTTTAAATTTTCTATTTTTCACTTGTCATTTTATTGTATTTTTCATTTTATTAAATTAAAATTCCACATTTAATATGTAAGGTAATATATATGTAAGTTATTTATTAGAAAGGGTTTATATATGTAATGTATCAAATACATTAAAGCCTCATTAATTTTAATAATTCAAAAGATTTCTCATTTTTCTTATAAATTCAAACTTTTCAAATTGTTAAAATTTTATATTTAATTTTTTTTAAATAAACTCATGTAATACATGCGTTTCACATCTAGTAAATAATATAGGTTTTACCGTTTTGGTTAGTATTATTGGTAATAACTAATATTGCTTTTCGCTGTTGCTTTGCTGTATTATTGGTAATATTGCTCGATCATAATTATGTTATTTTTAATTATCATCATTATTTTATTGTTTATTATTATTTAATTACTAATATTATAACTCTATTATTATTAGGGATAAATTGTTGTTATCACTACTAGAATAACAGGCATCAACGACGGTTTTGGCGTCAAAACGAAAACGCACAACACAGTAATAAGTTAATTAAGAAATTAAACTATATACTAATACAAGGTAAAACCAGAAAATACATGTGACACCACATTTTTCATTATCCGAGTCCATTTTCATTAAAATCGAGAGCATTCAGAATGCTTTTTCAAAGGGAACTGATTCGTACACAACACTTTTTCTCCGTACACAACAATTTGTGCCTTAAAGTGTTGTATTGTACAACTCTATAATGCATAAATTATTGTGTATGACACAAAATTGTTGTATACAAATCACTTCTCTTTTTCAAAAAGTACTCGGTACCATCTTAAATAAATGACCATTCGTCCGGGTGGGAAACACACAGATATCAGGAAATGAACGATCCATCTCAGATCGATTAGTATTTTCTAAAATACAAAATATTTGATTATTTATCTTAATACTAAATTAAATAATGCTTATTTTTCTAAATATACATGTTTTTTTTTTTTTTTTTTTTTTATATATATATTACATTATGAATTCGGCTTTATTTATTTCGTCTCATACAGTGCCATCAAATCTGACGGTGAGGATCCAAATGCCGACATCTACCTTTTGACTAAAAAGTAAAACATGAATCCATGACCACTAAAAAATAAAATAATAAGTTTAATTATAGTAACGTTTTACTCCCTCCGTCCCAAAATTATTGTCCGTCTTATTATTTTAGTTTGTCCCATAATTATTGTCCACTACCAAAAGTAGATATACACTTTTACCATATTACCCCTAACATTTAATAAAGTAAATTTGAATAATTACAAATGCACATTTCCCATTGGTTTTAGAAAATGACAAAATGGTCATTTTACTAAAAAAAAGACAAAACTAATGATTGTTTTTCTTGAGAGAAATTAAATATCCTCCTACTTTTTGTTCCTAAATATTATCCTACCCAATTAGATGGTGACATGTGTAACATTTAATGTTCATTTAAAGAAATTTAATGATATTTTAGGATACTAACATGACACATATCATCATTTAAATGGGTAGGAGGATTGGTAGGAACAATAGATAAAGGATATTTAATTTCTCTTTTTTTAATCTATATGTTTTTTGTCTGTGAACAATAATTTTGAGACCGAGCGAGTATAAGATATATACCGTATTTTGTTTTGTTGTTGGAACGGAGAATCTTTTAACGCGGCTAGTTGACTCATACGCCTTGATTGAAGGCAAAACAGGGATACAAGTACTTCATTACCATCATCCATACATTCATCAAATCATCATCCTTTTCAGTTTTCATCACTACTTCCACTCTATTTATTTCTACTTAATTTACCAACGCATATGCCATAAACAAGATCTTGAAATAGGGTTTTACTTTTCCTCCATAATCATCTGTTGATTTACCATTTTGGTTTTGATTGAGTTTTTATTACATTTTTTATTTCCCAGAATTCCTGTGTTAGGGTTTGGTTTTTAACAGAGATTTATGGGGCCGATGGTGTTACCGGCACCACCTGTAAAGTGCTATTCCGAAAATTCGTCTCCGGTGGCATTGCCGCCGGGTTCCTTCTCATCTGGTGGTGGTAGGTCGGGTGGTGGTGGTGGTTTGGATTATATTGAGCATACTGTCTCCAAATTTGATACGCTTGTTGGTGTCGCAATAAAGTATGGTGTCGAGGTAATATATTCAGTTAATCTTCAATTTGTTATGTTTTCCAATTACATTACTATAATTAATGCTTTAACCTGTTTACATGACTTCATAGACCATAGGTGATAAGTTTATCTACATTTTATTTTCAATTTTTCGTATTGATTTGGTAAGAAATTGAAGTTTGGTGCATAGTTGCATAAACATACAGTATATGATATATTCATATATTTGGAAATTTTAAAAGACTTTTTATTTACAAGATCATATAGCAATAAAGCCATTACTTTATAACTTTATTTTATTGAACACAAAATGACAAAAAACCAGCGATTATTTACAAAACAAAATCGGCAATACTCAAACATTTGAGCGATAATCTTGGATTTAAACTTTAGAAAAATATAAAACCTTGACTTGAGTGTCACACTGGCACTATACCCTTTAGAGAATCTCCGGTGCTAACAGTTTAATTGATTGCAACCGTGACCATTCCACTTTTTATAAACTTTTTTTTTTTTATTAATAAATTTGTAAATAAATAATATTATATAAAATTAAAATAACCAAAATACAAAAACTAACTAATTTTTGTTTATTTTGTATATTAGTAACTTTTGTTTAATTTATATATTTATAACTTTTGATTATTTTTATCTCTTAATCCATTACTTTATAGATTTAGAAAAAAAAGCGATGACTTCTTACATACAACCTTGGTATGATGATACAACCCCAAATTTTATACCACTCTACTTCATCATCCTTCAATACATACAACTTTTATACCACTCCATCTTATTTCCATACAACTACTATATTACCCCCACGAGATGTTTTGACTGTATTATCTATGTCTGACAGATAATACTATCTTATTGTATTATTGTAATCTTACACAAGGATGCAAAAATTGCTATCTATAAAGTCAATGACAAATAACATAAAAGCCCTTAAGTTTTCATAAAATTGTTGGTTTCACCCTTTGAGTTTTTTTGGGTTCATTAAAGCCGCAATTTTAAGTAAAACCGTGTGTTTTTACCCTTTTAAGCGGTACCCCGGTTACCAGCCGGTCGAAGCACACGTGGAGAGTGCTTGGCACGACACATCGACGCTGATGTGGCCACAAAAGTTCCTCTTAATTAAAAAGAGGCAGAGTTCTCGGGAAAGAGCCTAAAACAAGATTCGAACTCGGACCCTCCCGTTCTGATGCGAACACACTTTTCCACTACGCCGAATGTTCTTTTGGTTTTAATTCCTAAAATATTGTATATTACGTCTAATTCCACAAAAGTTCCTCTTATTATTATTATTATTATTATTATTATTATTATTATGTATTTATACATATTTAAAAACATATACAAATTTTTATAAATGTGTATTTATAAATTTATAAATATTTTTTTCGATATATATATATATATATATATATATATATATATATATGGAAAAGTTCAATATAGAACCATAGTTATTGGTTCTCTAAGGAACCAAATATTTTTTTCAAGTTCTAAAGCTTATTTTTTATCGAAAAAAAAACTAAAAATATCTAAATTCATAGTTTAACATTGTGAATGTTAAATATATTTTTCGGATTCACCGTGTGAATTTAGATTCACATTGTAAATTTTCAAAGATTCATATTGTGAATTTGACGAGTTCAAGGATATATTATATATATATATATATATATATATATAATATTTTCATAACTTTTTATACGCATAAAAACGTTTTATGATTAATGTTACAAATAAATACGATAAATATGTTTAAACATATTTAAATATATGTAAATACATTTTTAAAACAAAAAAACCCTAAAAAAAACCCCAAAAATCATAAAAATGCATAAAAAAATACCTAGAGATCACAAAACTTTTTTTTGACATTTTTTATGAAAAAATCGCAGGTTTTTAAAGAAATTCGTTGAAAAAAAAACTTTTTTTTTATAAAGAAAAAATTGATTTATTTTTTTTTCAGCGAATTTTAATAAAAAGCTGCGATTTTTTATAAAAAAAATTCAAAAAAAAGTTTTGTGATCTCTAAATATTTTTTTATGCATTTTTATGATTTTAGGGTTTTTGTTTTCCATAGAACCTAAACCTATATATATATATATATATATATATATATATATATATATATTATATATATATATATATATGTGTTGTTTGTACTCTTAAATATGTTTAAAAATGTATAATAATAATAATAATAATATTGTTTCAGTGTTACACATTATATATTGTATATCCCGATGCTAGGAACAAGAAATGCTTCAGTCTAGTGGTAAATCGGTTTCCTTGTGTAACGGAGGTCTTGTGTTCAAATCTTTGCTTCTACCTTTGCTATCGATTTTTAAATAAATGAATTGTTGACATCCATGTCAGCGTCCACTTGGTGCCATGTCATTCAAAATGCGTCCAGTCAGCGTGTTTATGTCACACCTCCTGTAAATGCCACCGGCTAAACCGGATACAAGGCAAAATTGAACATATTTCATAAACATTAGGTATTATTGAACCTAAAACTCATCAAAGGGTAAAACCAATAATTTTTTTAAAACTTAAGGGTTTTTATGTCATTTGCCCAAGTCAATTTGATTGGAGTCTTGGGACTAATCGGTTTATGCTGGACTTAATCGGGAACCTTAAATTATAAAGGAATTTATTTTGAAAAAGTCAAATATTACCAATATCCTAACAAAATAAAATAAGTAAATAACCATAAAATGTCATATTCTAGTGTTTAACATGAGTACAATAAGGGAGAGTTGGAGAGACAAATGCGAGAAGAAAGAAAGAAGACACGAGAGAGAAGAAAGAAAGAAGAAACAAATGAGGGAAGAAAGATAGAAAGACACATGCGAGAGGGAAGATAATGGAGAAAAGTTTACCAAGAGGAAGACTGAGATAGTGACACGATGAGAGATGAACAAATAAAGTCATAAATTTCAAACTAGGAATTACTATATTAATTTCTAATTAATTTTAGTTTATGTATTACTATATTATTATATTGGGATATCTCCAGAAAAGTCCTATTAGTTTGGAAATTTTTTTTAATAAAGTCATAAATTTTATTTTTTGAACACAAAAATCCTTACCTTTTCACTTTTTGAATAGAAAAACTCAAGAAACCGGCTAATTTATTCACTTTAGTCCTTTTTAGTCCTTTTAGACATGTTCAGCAGGTCATTAGACCAAATTATTAATTTTCCGAAAATAATGGGATTTTTTTGTAGATTTCGTCAAAAATTTTATATAACGTATAAACATATTTTTTACATATCTATATCTATTTTTACGTATTTATGTATTTTTTAAGTTTTTATATGTATATATATTTACGTAATTTTAAGCTTTTTATATAGATGTTTATATCTATTATGTACTTATATAAGTACATAATACATAATACATAAAAAACACATAAAAACACACAAAAAATATTTAAAATACTTAAAAAATACATATAAATATCTAAAACAATACGTTTATACATTTAAAATACATAAATATACAAAAACATCTATATAAAAAACTTTAAAAAAATACATAAATACGTAATACATAAAAAAAACATGTAAATACTTAAAAATAGATCTTAATACGTAAAAAATATATTTATACATTTTAAATACATAAACATCTATATAAAAAGTTTTAAAAAATACATAAATACATAAAAATACATATAAATACATAATACATAAAAAATAACACATAAAAATACATAAAAAAATATGTAAAATGGTTAAAAATACATATCAATAAGTAAAAAAATACGTTTATATATTTAAAATACACAAAAATATATAAATATATACATATAAAAACTTAGAAAATACACAAATATGTAAAAATAGATACATATATGTAAAAAATATGTTTATACATAATATAAAAAATATTGACGAAATCTGCAAAAAAATCTCATTATTTTCGAAAAATTAACAATTTTGTCTCATAACCTGCTGAAAATGTCAAAAAGGACTAAAGTGAATAAATTAACCAGTTTCTTAGGCTTTTCTATTCAAAAAGTGAAAACGTCGGGATTTTTTTGTTTAAAAATAAACTTTAGGGCTTTATTAAAAAAAATTTCCAAAATATTGGGACTTTTCTAGAGATAATATTAGCATCTGATTAATTTTTACTTTTATCGTTGACACATTTTATCATTTTTGATATTTTTAACATTTTGACATTTTTCTTGCATAGACGAATTTTGCCTGATTACCTTTTAAATCGTAGGTCCTGGTGAATGCATGCCAAATGCTTAGGTGTCGATTATTTGGTTGCCTAGTCTCATTTTTACAACATTAATCTTACAATATTATCTCATTCTTATAGAGAGTTGTATTATTGCATGTTTAAAACCTTGATCAAAATGCTACAAAAAATAGTTATATTAAAAAAAAACCTTCGATTAGAAAGTTAAGAAAAACAATTATTTTCAGACATAGAAAATATATCAAGATTACGATATGATAATACACAATGTCATAGATAATACACTTTATCATACATACTAAGATTATAATAAGATAAGTCCATCTGTAAGACATAAAAAATACAGTAATATTATATTAAAATAATACAATATGTCAGATAAACAAAATATAATAACATTACAGTAAAATAATCTCAAATAGTTTTTAGCTGTATTAGATGTATCCATAAGAAAGATTGAATTTCCTTCAAATCGACAAACATTTTTTTTAAACTCATATGTGTTTGATACTTTTATATATAGTATTTAAAAGCAATACGTAATCATTAGTTTTATTTGGAAAAATACATCACAATTTACGAAATTGATAAAAAAAAATAAGGTCAAGTTTGTAAAAGGCTAAGAGAAAGTCAGGGAATGTATTTCCGGTTTCTTTATCTATATCTATGATATACTATAAATTAAACATATTTTTTTCAACACATGCATTTGGAACCCTAAACTCTTCATGTTTCATTCTAATATATATATATATATAATATATATATATATATATATATAATTATATAATATATATATATGTGTGTGTGTGTGTGTGTGTTTGTGCTAGAATGTACTAATATGAATTTAGTAAAAATTAAATAAATATTTAATTAAATAAAGATAGTCATTAAATGATTTCCATAATTGTATGTATATTAAATGATATCCATAATTATAATTATCTTTTTATGGAAATTAATTAAATTCGTCATTAATGTCAGCAATAACATTCTTTCGGAATTAATTCGCATATAGGTTTTTATGTATGAGTTCATTTTTTGTTTCAGGACTCACTAACTTAAAATACAATAAAGATGCATGGAATATTAAGAACGAGAGTGTATTCTACTAGAATACACTCTCATTCTGCTAGAATACACTCTCATTCCTCTAGAATACACTCTCATTCCTCTAGATACGAATTCATTCTGACATAATATTATTGTTGACATTAATGACGAATTTAATTAGTTTCCATAAAAAAGATTTAAAAGTATGGATATCATTTAATATACATATAATTTTTACTAAATTCTTATTTGTGTATTCTACCACACAATTAATGTGAGAAACATTTGAACATATATATATATATATATATATATATATATATATATATATCCTTTCTAATAAATGAAGGTTGTTAAAATTCTTAATACAGTTATCAAAAGAAAATAAAATTGAAACAAAAAAATTTTATAATAATATAGCAAGCTCTAGTAATGTCAACTTTATTCCTCATCAAATAAATGGAAATTTTAATCTTGGAAATAAAGATTTAATTGATGAATTAGAAAAAAGACTTACTAATTTTCGTATTTCAAAAAACGTATCTATAAATATGTTAAAAACAAATAATGACTCTTTTGACGAATCTGACGAAAGTAATAATGAAAGTGAATTAAATTTAGACAATCTTACTCAACAATTCATAAATGATAATGATGATATAAATCAGCTTACAAATGATTTTCAAGATTAAATAAGATTAATTCTTTTGGTAATAATCCAAAACCAACTATTAAAAATTATTGGAATAGACCTTCTCTTCCTGATGTTCAAATTGAAGAAAGAGCTTTTCAATATGATCGTTCAGCTTACGATGGTACCTCTGTTTACGAATGGAATATCGATGGTAACTCTGAACATCAAATTCTTAATATTGTTCAAGAAATGACCATGGCAGCTAATGCTTACAAGTCTCACAATAATACTCAACTTCAAATTGTTAATATTATTATTTCTGGGTTTACTGGACTCTTAAAGGTTGGTGGGATTTCTATTACACCAGAAGAAAAGAATTTTATAATGACTGCCAAGAAAACCGTTATAAAACAAGAAAATAATTTACCTATTCAAACTCAAGAAGATGATATGGTTAATACTTAATTTTTGCTATAATCAAAACTTTGTAGGAGATCCTACTACTTTTCAAGAAAGAACTTCTGAATTCTAATGAACTTACATTGTAGAAAATTAACTGATTTCAGATGGTACAAAGATAATTATCTCGTTAAAGTTTTTTCAAGACCTGATTGTCAAAGAATCTTATTGGAAAGAACGTTTTATTTGCTGGACTTCCAAAACTTTTTGCCGAAAGAATTAGACAAAAATTAAGAGAAAATTTTAATAATACAATTTCTTATCAAACCTAACTTATGGAGATTTAATTAATTATATTAATAAAGAAGGATTAGCTATTTGTGCTGACCTTAGATTAAAGAAAACTTAAAAAGGATAGAATTAATAGTAAAAATGAATTAGGAAAATTTTGTCAACAATATGGTTATCAACCATTAACAGGTCCGTCTACTTCAAAAACCAAAAATATAATAAAAAGTCTTCAAAATATTTCAAGAAAAAGAAATATAATAAAACAGAAAATTATAAGAATTATAAGAAAAATAAATTTTCAACATCAAAAAACCCTTTTAAACAATCTAATAAAAAATCTAAAAGAAAATCAAAAGACATTATTATTTGCCATAAATGTGGTCGTAATGGTCATAATGCTAATAATTGTTATGCAAAAACAAAAATTAATGAATTAAATATTTCGGAAGAATTAAAAGAACAAATTAGAAAAATTATGTTAAATTCTGATTCCATTCTGATTCTAGTTTTTCCGATTTTCAAGAAAAATGATTTTAAACATTTTAGAGCAAAATAGTTCAAGTTCGGAAGAATCTGATACATGCGAATGTGTTGGAAAATGTAATTGTAATTATTCAATTAATGTCCTTACAAACAATGACAAGATCTTTTAAAAAATTTAGATTCCATTAAAGATAAAAATATCCAAGAACTGTTAATAAAACAAATGCTTAATAAGAATGAAAATTCTGTTTCAGAAAATACAAAAATTTTTAATTTAAAGGACATATATGAACGATTTTCCGAAACAAAACCCATTTCCATGCAAGAACTTCAAGAAGAATTAAAATCAGTTAAACAAGACATAAAAGAAATTAAAGGCAAAATTATAACTCTTGAAAAGGGAAAAAATATTATTAATTCACAAAATAATGATAATAAAGATGAAAAGGTTATCGAAAGAATTATAAATGATCAAATTTCTCAAAAATGGAATACTCAAATAACTTTAGTAAAGGATAATTTTAAAATGGATATTACTGCTCTATTGATAGTGGTGCTGATATGAACTGTATACAAGAAGGTATATTTCCCACTCAATTTTATGAAAAACTTCTTCTAGGCTTACTGGAGCTGAAGGAACCAGTTTAAAAATAAATTATAAAGTTTCCGATGTTCATATTTGTAACAATCAAGATTATTGTTATAAAACTCATTTAATTTAGTAAAAATCTTACTTCCCTTTAATTTTAGGAACACCTTTTATTACTAAATTATATCCTTTTATGGTTCAAGATGATGGAATTATTACTAAAGTTTTTGGAAAAGAAATTATGTTTAAATTTTGTGAACCTCCGTCTTATTCAACTATTAATATTCTTAATTATAAAACAAAACAAGCAAATTACCTTATCAATGAAATTAATGATTTTCGTATACATAATCAATTACAAGATAAGTATATTCAAGACAAAATTATAGCTTTAAAACAAAAGTTTGAAAATAATGTTTGCTCAAATATTCCAAACGCCTTTGGAACAGAAAACAACATATTGTCAAATTACCTTATATTAAAACTTTTAATGAAAAAGATATTCCTTCAAAATCAAG